GAGGTCCCTTCCAACCCCCACCATTCGGTGATTCTGTAAAATTCAGTTGACAGGGATCTCTGGAGGTTTGGACAATCCTTCAGCATCCAGGTCATTGCTTATGTCTTATTTCCTTAAGTAGCCTGTAACTTCACCTTCATCTTGCTTTCCTCCCCAGTCTGACACTGGCTCAGGCAGCTGATGATGCATGATACCAAACCTTACCAGTAAAAAAGCCTGAGGCATCAAAGCAGCTGAGCACCTTTTCCATATCCTTCATCACTATGTATTCTGCCTCAGTGAGCAGCAGGGCCCGTATCTTCTTGGGTCTTAAGATAAAAATCACTTACTATATTTTTCCCCATGCAAAAGGGGAAGCCAACATTCAAAACAGAAAGGGACACCACAAAACCTGGTTGTTTATTTTTTTTTTTCCGATCATCTATATCACTGCTTACTCTGGTGGATTTCAGGTTTCTGTTTGCAATAAATGTAGTAAAAGACATTCTGAAAAGTGGGCTTGCCAGTCAGCAGCTTAATTCTTGGTAGTGAAAACACATGACACAATAAGGACTACCTTCTTTTACCAGACTATTTTCATCTAAAATAGGCCTTTATATTTTAATCACATTACAGCTTCTCTACAAAATGTATTCCCATAGAAACCTCTCCCACACCTACTGTGGTTCTAATGTACTGTGAAGAACAACACAACAAAAGCTGTTTCACTTTTTAAAGAACATCCTCAAACAACATAGCTACAACTAAATGCTCATTATCCTTATTTCAATAATCTCACTGACACAAGAAAAAAATTCCAAGTGCCAGATGACTCTCTTCTATATCTATTTGCATTTCTGACTATGAAATAGCAGACACTACATCCAGTATTTGTAATATAAAAAACCAGCTTTTTCCATCCAGGGACTGGGAATTAGGACTGGTGATAAACATGACAATAAATGATACAACCTGTTTCTGTCATTCCACAGAGGAATAAGCTATCACAAGGCTTCATTAAATATTTTCATCACAACTTAGAAATTATATTAATTTGTAAGACAGAGAGGCTTTGTTGCAATAACTTGTTTTATTTTATAGTTCCATCTAAGCTAAAAATAGATCCAATCTAGTGTTAGAGAAGATTATTGCACCTTGAGGGCACCCAGAAAAACACAAAATTAATTTTAAAGATATTTGATACTGATTTGAAGTATCATGTCTGTACATTTTTGGATGCAAAATGAAAAATGACCACATAAGATGAACACAATGACAAAAACTAAAGCAATAACTTATCGATTTATGGAAACTGATTTAATTGCAGGGATCCTAATTTTTATAGGCACAAGAGCTCTAAACAGCCTTTGACATGGCTGATATTTCAGTCTGGCATAACAAAATTAAGCTTTAGGAAAAGTGTAATCTTCACCAATGCTGACAAAAGTTATTTCCCTTGAAAATTACACCTGACCTTGGGCAGCTTCAGAGCAGTACCTACCTTTACTGACACCAGGTTATACAGCAAGCAGAGCACAGACATATGCAGAACCACTTCAGTATATGTGCAAACAAAACTGTACTGAAAAAGCCTACAAAACCTAACGTAGAACTTGAATGAAACCAAACTTGGTGAATAAGTAACGAAATTGGAAGAAAACGCAAACCTATCTCAAAGAAGCATCTTCTCAATTTATAAATACCACAAAACAAGCAAAGCTAAGTTGTCTCAAAAAGAACAAAAATTAACAAGAAAGAGGATAGCCAAGAAACATGGATGCCTGTCTTCTTAAATAATATAAATTTTGGAAGAAACATGGTTATTACAGTTATATGCTACCAAGTACACTTCCCATGCTACCCAAAACGTCCTCTTCTTTCTGAAGGTACTGCTAATACAGCAGTGAAGGAGCTTTCATTTTCTATTGATATGGTTGCTACTGGAAAGAAAGGCCGATTTTTCACCTAAATTCCTGAAAAACTGTGCTTCCAAATTCATCTTTTACCTACTGCTCATGTTGCATCCAATCTTTGTGCTAACCCATCACTCAAGGAAATATGAAAAATTATATTCAACAACTAGTTAAAAAAAAGAAAACAAACAACTCATAGTTTCTTCTTTCACCTGATGTTAGGAAAAAACAATTTAAAAAAAAAAAAAAAAAAGGATGTTTCAAGAGACTGAATCTGCATTTGGTAGTCCTGAAGACTTATATACTTTATAAAAATTTACACAGCTTCGAATCACTCAAATTAACAATAACCCAAGCACAATCTATTATTATGACAGGTAATCAATTATTTCAGTCAACAGTTTGACTGTTTTTCCCCTTAATGGCATTAAAATATTATATATGTGTGACAGTTTTATATACATTTGCATCACTTGTTCAGTATGTTAGAAAAATACTTTAAAAGAAATCAGCAAGAGTATAAAAATATGGCAATATTGTTGTAAAACTGTAAATCTGTTATAAGCAAGCTTTTGCAGTGGTGTGCATCTTCAAAAACAATTTTTTAATGTGCAATTTTTAAATGAAAAAGCCTTTTCAGCTACTAAGCATAGAGAAGAAAATCAATTCTGTATTTTAAAATTCAAAAGATTACTTTGTTAACATCAATGCATCTGACAACAGACAGTTTGCATGTAAACCTAGGACAGTTTGATGTGAGTTTGTCTAAGGTACAATTATTTTGTGCTCTTTCCTAATAGTCTGGACACTTTGGGTAATAAACAATTTAACTCTGCACAGTCAATAACTTACCCTTACTTGACCCACAAAAGCATTGGCTTCCTCTTCCTGTACGGACAGGTTTTTAGGTAGAAACATATCAAAAACTGGCCCGTTGTCATTTACATCCGTCACCACTATATTAACAGTAGCAGTTGAGGTCTACAGAAAAAGATAACATTATGAACAAATTATCTTTATTTTACAGTTTCATAGATGACAACTTATCAGCAACCTTGCTGCTATGTATTAGACCCATCCAGTACAGAATCATAGGTAAATGAATTATCAGGTTTTTTCTGCATATTTTTGTGAAACAGGAAGCATTATTTTTTACTTTTCTTACAAGATAAAACAGGCTCGAGACTGAATAATGTATTAGAGATGCACGGAGGATATCAGATCTCTTTTTTTCTTATACAGTATTTATTTTGATTCTCACGAATTTAAACACTGTGGCAAGAGCAACAAAAATATGCCTTTGTTTTATACCCTCTAAATATAACTACAGAGGCACTGAGGCTAATAATGCACATTTCTGTGGCCTGTGACACAGGTTGCAAAGAGAAGGAATGAACAGGACTCTTCACTCACTAGAGAAAACAGAAGCACTGCTGGGCAAAAACCACAGTAAGGAAGGTTGAAATGATAGTAGTATCTGGCATGACCTACACCATCATAACTGAATGCAGTGGTGGAGCAGCAGATGGGCAGGCTAACATGGTCTTTCAACACCATAGCATTAGTCTGTGAAGGCTTCCTTCACAGAATCATTTTGGTTGGAAAAGACCTTTAAGATTGAATCCAACTGTAAACCCAACACTGCTGAGTCCACCACCAAACCATGTCCCTAAGCACTACATTGTCCCGGTTTTTAGCTGGGACAGAGCTGGGTTTCTTTTTAACAGCTAGAACAGCACTGGGGTTTGGGTTCAGCTGGGATTTTTTACAAAAGAAACGCTGAGCACATGCCAACGTTTGCATTTTTGTCACTGGAAGTCAAAGGACTTTGTGTTTTGCTAGTCTACAGGTGCAAAGTCTGGGGGGGGGCAATGAATATTCAAATTAATAAGCTAGATTGGCATGTGGATATGCCAATAGGATATTTCATATCATGTGACGTCATGTTCATTATATTAATGAGGGGCTCTCTCTTGTGGGATTTGCTCTTGCTTGGGCTTTCACTTTTCTGGGGTTGCAGTTTCAGGATTGTCGCTCCTCCAGGATCATTACCTGAGAACAGGCTGGGCTTGGTCAGCGGCTGGTGAGCAATTACACTGGGTATCGATCATTTTCATATTTTATTATTATAATCATTACTACTTTAATATAATAAGTTTTATTTTATTCCAATTATTAAATTGCTCTAATCTCACCCTACAAGTCTTTTTACCCTTAACTCCCCAATTCTCTCCCCTATCCCCTGGGGGGCTGGTGAGCAAGCAGCTGGGTTTGGCTGCAGCCAAGTGCAACAACCACACACATCTACCTGTCTTTTAAATCCCTCCAGGCTTGGTAAATCCACCACTTCCCTGGGCAGCATGTTCCAATGCTGGGCAATCCTTTGGTGAAGAAATTTTTCCTAATATCCATTCTAAGCTTCCCCTGGTACAACTTGAGGCCATTTCCTCTTGTTCTATCACTTGTTAAGTGTTTCACTCAGTTCATATGCAAAGAAAATAAAATTATCTTATTTTATAAATACAACCTGTTAGACAAGTACACTGAGGGAGATAGATGCTAGAAAGAAACACGTGTGAAGTTTAACACTGATGCCTTATTACCACAGATTGCTAATGCTGGTTGTCCAGGCTCTGTTTTGTACCATTCCCCCAGTGATAGTAATATTTGTCATGATGTCTATGCAGCAGACACTGCCACTGTGAATTGCAGTGTAAAATCAAATGCAGTGCATTAAATCAGCTTTCCTGTGCTGTATCTAGATGTCTTTTGATACTGAGCTACTTTGTGTCAAGCTGCATTTGGGGAAATCTATATGACATTACAGCCACAGTGATTACGTGGCGCAGATGTATGTAACTCCTGATAAAGTCCTTTGCTTTAGGCACAAGACTAACCAACCTGTTAGAAAGTAGCACCTCACAGGTTTTATAAAGAAACCTGTAACCATCCCCCCTTAAAACACAATAACAAAAAAAAAAACCCCAAAAAACCCGGAATGTAAACCTGCATCTTTGTATGCCTTTTCTGAAATACCCACTGATGCAGTACCTCCCACGTAACAAACCTCAAGCAGTTTCACACCCTCTGAGCTCCCCACTAAAACTGCCCAACATAAATCCAGAATATTGTCTAATTTTTATTAAGGGGCAATCTCCTTGTATCTGCCATGTGTGAAAAGCACTTGCAAAGGACAACTAACATACTTAAAAGCTACCCACTATCTTAATAGTATTTGGTCATGCTTTTGTTGCTGTGTCACCACTTCAATCTGATCACTTACTCTCTGCAGTAGAGATCCTCTAACAGGGCAATCTCCTTCACCTTCCAAATCCGGAGACTTGGCAAGCAGCCCAGTCACAGCTATTGGAGTCAGCTGCCTCTTCTCACAGCTGTAAATCCAGCTGGTGCATCTGCACAGTGTTCCATCTACTCACTGAGGTGCTACCTGTGCTAGCCTGCTCCCTTACCAATCCCTCTAGATACCGGCACGGCAAAGAGCAGATCCCAAACACACACGAGTAGCATAATATCCATGCACAGTAAGGCTCTTTCAGAGTGAGAGTTTTTACAGTTTTTGTATGGAGGCAAATGCAGAAAACAGATCTGTTCCACAATAACTGGGGATCTGATCAATGCCTATAAATACCTGAAGTGTGGGGGCCAAATGGATGGGGCTGGGCTCTTTTCAGTCGTACCCAGGGGCAGGGAAAGGGGGAATGGGCAAAAACTGGAACACTGGAAGGTCCACATAAACTTAAGAAAAAACTTCTTTACAGTGAGGGTGCCAGAGCCCTGGGACAGGCTGCCCAGAGAGCTTGTGGAGTCTCCATCTCTGGAGGTGTTCAAAAGCCCCCTGGGTGCCAACTTGTGCAACCTGCTTCGGCAGGGGGCGTTGGACTGGATGATCTCCTTAGGTCCCTTTCAATCTCCACCAGTCTGGGATAAGCACCATACAATAACTACTTTAATACCTAAAAAGAAAATAATACAGAATATTTTGAAACAAAGAAACAGAGAGGTGTCCTCAGGTTGGCTTCTTACATTTGCTTATGCTCGGTTATTTGCTAATTGTTTCTGAAACTGCCATTCCCACATTCAATTTATAGAAGAGAAACATGCTTTACAATTTATGCATCATTGTCAACACAAAATACACTCTAGGACGTTTGCCTTGATGTGCAACGTGCAGTGAATATAAATCAGTCTTTCATGGATAACTTGAAGCCACAGAATACAGGGCAATAAAAATTCTTAGATTTAATAAACTCGAGAGAAATATGGCATAAAAAATATTGGCTTAAGAAAGCGAGTACTTCTCATTTTGAAAATATTTCTCTTCCATTCAAGAGAATTTTAATGGGATGTGTCTTATAATCTGTGGTGTGTTTACTTCTGATGAAACTGAATCAATCCACAGAGCTCTCTGAACAGCCACCAAAACGTGCCTTTGTACCTGCTAACTTCAGAATTGAGTGCTGAAAGTAAAATGCCTGTTGGGAATCACTTACAGGACTAGCGTTGGTATGTAAGTGCAGGCCAGTAGGGAGGGGCTCACATACTTATTTTAGATAAAGAGAGCAGCACGTTATAAGGAACTCTTATGAGCACCTAAACAACAGTGTTTTTCTAAACCCAAGCAACTCGCTGCTCTGGAAGTGTGCTATTAACAACATGAACCTGTGGCAATACTGCTCTGTCTTGAACAAAACAGGGAACATTTTTTCCCTTCAAGCCTTCTTGAAACCCAATCATTATAGTATTATTAGAAATACAGAGCTTACTGAAATAGTGGAATAAGTCTAGAAGGGGTCACTTGAAGAAGTACCAAAGGGGACTTGGGTTTCACCTAAGAGGAGACAGTGGAGGCAGTAGGTAAGGCTGAGCTCTGCTTAATCCAACCTGGATTTTAACTTGGAGTCTTCAGTGCAAGAAAGACATGGACCTGTTGGAGCAGGTCCAGAGGAGGCCACAAAAATGATCAGAGGGATGGAACAGCTCTCCTGTAAAGAAAGGCTGAGACAGTTGGGGCTGTTCAGCCTGGAGAAGAGAAGGTTCCATGGAGACCTTATTGCACCTTTCAATACTTAAAGGGGGCCTATAAGAAAGATGAGGACAGACTTTTTAGCAGGGCCTGTAGTGATAGGACAAGGGGGGATGGTTTTAAACTAAAAGAGGGGGGTTTTAGACTAGGTACATGGAAGGAATTTTTGACACTGAGGGTGGTGAAACCCTGGCCCAAGTTGTCCAGAGAGGCGGTAGAAGCCCCACCCCTGGAAACATTCAAGGTCAGGTTGGACGGTGCTCTGAGCAACCTGATCTGGTTGAAGATGTCCCTGCTCATTGCAGGGGGTTGAACTAGATGGCCTTGAAAGGTCCCTTCCAACCCTAGCCATTCTGTGATTCTATGATTTAAGATGAATTTTAAGATCCTTTTTAACATCTTTATCAATGATGCAGAGGAGGTAACGAAGCACACGCTCCTCAGGTTCGCAGGTGACACCAAACTGGGAGTAACAGTCAATACGCTGGAGGGCAGAGCTGCCATTCAGAAGGACTTTGGCCAGCTGAGAAATGGGCCAACAGGAACCCCGTGAAATCCAGCAAGGACAAATATCCCATCCTGCCCCTGGAAGGACAAGCCCCTCGCAGGGGCCTGGGCCAGCAGCAGCTCTGCAGGGAAAGGCCTTTGCATGTTGGCAAACAGCAAGTGGAGCAGCTGTGAGCCCTGGCAGCAACACAGGCCAGCAGCTCATGGGCTGCATGGACAGGGGACCAGCCTGGAGATCCAAGGGATCAGCCCCTCTGCTCAGCCCTCAGAAGACCACACCTAGGTGGTTCAATGTCAGGAGAGAAAACGGGTGTAAACTGAAGGAAGAGAGGTTCAGACTGGACATAAGCAATAGCTTCTCCCCATGGGTACAAAAATGAGAGCGTTTCAACGTGGTGAAGCACAGCTCTCAGCACTCCCTGTAAAGGAA